CCCAAAAATCCAACAAAACCCCCCACCCCTCTACCATCTGGGTGCTTCATTGCGTACTGAAGCAAATTGTTACTCCCTCACAAAAATCACAGTCAGAGAATTCGTTAGTCTATTCCCTCACCACCTACCATTTCTCACATTAAACGGAGAATATTTGTGATCTTAAGCAATCAAGTTTCTAAGGCAGAGTGAAAATTTGCTATTAGAATAGTCCATCACCACAGGCCTTTCCTTCCTTCCTCCCACTCACCCACCCACAACCTTTAAGGGAAACAGTTATAGCTCACTGGGAAAAGGGGGAAACACCTCACATTCAGCAAATCGAGCTCACGCACATTGCCCTACAGCTCTTGCTTGGGCCAGGTGCGCATGCAGGAACACCACTTGGTACATACATCTTTGCACCCCAGCTGATCTTGCCGTTACTGGGACAAACTAAACCATTCTAATTAGAGAAATGTCAGTGAAATTTGTCAAAAGACTATTTCAGAAGCTAAAGAGGTCCAAAAGTCAAAGCATGCTAAACTTCTCCAGAAGAGAAAATGCTGACCTACCTCTAGGTGAGGTCACCTAGCTACCCTCCTGTGGAAAGAACCAGAAGCTGTCAAAGGATTCGGCTGTTAAGAAAACAAGGCACTTCCATGCATTCACAGTTCTGGCAACGTTAAGGTTAATTTAACCTCCTCAAACTGTGTCTGCTGTGTTCAGACTATTATTTCTTCCCCTTCAGCTTGAAAGACTCGTAGCTCTCTAGATTCCCCCTCCTGCAGATGAGGAGGGGTGGGAAGCAACTCACCACAGCCACCAATGCCAAACTGTGCTGGTGTGTAGATTATATGATAAAAAAAGACTTGCCATACTAACCTGAAGATATACATTTTACATCCTCTTCACCAAAGCAGGCACCTCATTACCTCGGCTTGCCTAAGTTTATGTGTGCTACATCTTGGCAACATTCTCATCTCCGAAAAAGGATGACACCCAGTATCCAATCTGAGGATGAGGATAGAACAAATCCTTCTGCTATCTTTCCAGTAACCTTTTTTTCTAAAACAAAAGAAACAAAAAACTCTGTATAATAAAGCTATTCTGCTAATTTCTTTCACAACGTACCTGAAGTCCTAAATAATTAGAAGATAGAGGACTTTGCACATTCACAACAGCAAATCTTGCCCAGGTAATTTTCCAAACAACTTGAGAATCCAGATCCAACCAACTACACATTAGTCACCTGGCTAGCAAGGAAGACTTAACTTACATTAATGAACACAAGACTTCATTAAAATGCAGTTTTAAGTTTAGCAATACGACAGAATAATCTATTGAAGGAGGACAGGGACAGGATTGAAACTGCAGACTCAGTTATGTCTTGCTACTTATCACTAACAAATTAATATAAATTAAAAATCAATACAGCAGGATAGTGTGAGACAAATGCTAATGTCCATGAAGAGAGGATGTGTTAGACCCATCACCCCTGTGCTGCCAGGCACATCACTGTAATTCTGCGGGACTGAACAGGGCAGGGACGAGCTGCTTTCCCCAGCAAAGGCAGAATGTGCATCAGCTTCCCCTCTGCACCCCATTTCCTCTTCCCTCATGCCCAAACTATCATCTTCTTATGTAGACGGGACTGGAATCAACTTTGAATTTATTATAGTGATGAAGCCTGTCACAGAGCTACTTGAGCTATTTGCTTCTGTCATTAATAATGACCACAGAGTGAACAGGAACACATTTATATTTCATCTTAAGCATCATATCCTAGATTATTTGCAAGCCCACTGATGACTGAGGTAATCTTGGTCATTCAAAATCCAAATCATGCCAGCCTTGGAGAAGAGGAAAGCTGAAGGTGAACACAGAGGATCTGAACATGACACTAGCCACAAACCATGTAAGAGCAGTTTCTCCATTCTTCAAACTTTACCTCAGCAACGCTTGTGGAAGTTATTGTGCAAAAATCAGTATGAAAATAGTATGTAAAGCTCTTGGACAAAAAAAGGTTTTCCTCACAGGTGCTTAGTATAAAGTTAAGTTTTGACAAATTACACAGTTGCATTTACCACAAGAAGGAGGAACAAAAACTGGCACCATACAGCTGAGATTGCTTCTTCTATATGACCTGCAATTTAGGTACATTTCGTATACAAGATGCAAAAATTTCACCATGATGGCAACTCAGAAAAATATTCATGAGGGTGACTTGCCACATATTGTTTAAACTGCATTCACACCCTTTTATTTTTTAATTGCACTAGGTAGGGAGACTATCTGAAAAAAAAAATTTACATCACCTTCACTACTTTTACATTCAAAAATATCAATCCTCTTTCAGTTCAGTAGCACATTTCTCATAAGCACACATATGCTTATTCTTCTACCAAAAAGGCAGCTACAAATACCTAACCTTCAAAGTATTTAACAGAATTAAGCAAGTATTTAATTTTAATTTTTAAAAAAATAAAAATCAACTGCCTTTCCCGTGTCGGTAACTTCCCACCCATGGAATTCATCCTTGAATCCTAACTAGTTACTCATTTAATATAGACAACTATCTTTGCACGCACATGTAAAGACAACACTCCACTGCACCTTCTTTCCAACTACTTCATAGCAACCTAAACATTTAATACATATTCCTTTAAAGAAATCTGAGTGAATTTATTGTATAAAATTATGATTGGCATGGTACAGAAAAGTTCCTTTTAATGCACATTTCCCATTAACTTGTACACAAATATTACAAGTATCGAGCAAAATGCAAAAGTCTTAAGAACTAATTCCGTACTACAAAAGTGTTCACATAGTGAAGTTACTCTGGTTACAAAATGTCATGGAAATAAAAGCACTTCAAAATACATATTTGGGAAATGTTCTCGAATAATCAACACAACCTTAAGTTAGTTAAAAAATGGAAAGAAAGAGATACCCTCTTCAAAACGCTATTGTTGATTTGGCAACATGGAGCAAAGTTCAGATCAGTTCATTTATTGAAGGATTGTTCTTTCCAAGAAACAAAAAAAAATAAAAACCTTTAGTTAAGAAAGGGCTCAATTATACTATGATGACAAATAACGCCATCAAAAAGTTATCTGGCTCTCTTGTTTTCACACAGGAGCTGTCAGAGGCAGAGATGTGTAAATGAACACTTCCAGGTATATACAAATTACCTTTTAAAAAACCAAACCAAACAAACCAACAAACAAAAAAAACCCAAACCCCAAAATAACAAAAAGGAGACAATCTGAACTTTGTTGTTTCATTTAACTAGTTCAGTTCCTTAGGTCACAAGACCCAAGAAAAGCGGTCTGCAAAGGATACATGTTTAAGGAACAAAATCGAACTTCCACTACCAAGGAATGCGTAGATGTCACGTTATGCGAGTACTGTACATCCTCACAGTAAGACTGTCAGAGGCTACCAAATCTCTGCTTCCCAACGACCTTGAAGACCTGCTGTTCTCAACAAGACAAAAATGGCTGAACCTAACAAACAGCCTTACAAAAAAGGAGGCATAGTCATACTGTTAGAAAATAACAAAATCTTGAAGACTGAAAGCATCCTTAAAAACTTACACAAAGTAACTACAAAATAAGCAATACATTACATTACTTTTGTATTGGATGACTTGCGTGCGTTTCAGCAATTGAACATTGGTACGTATATCTACATGAAACTCACACATACAAGACATCATGTTCAGGCATTATTGTTGTTTTCCTTTTACACATACACACAAGTTACTATCGGGTTATCCAGTCTATTCAAACGCAGTGAAAAACAGTCCACAGCACGCATAAAAGGAGCATTATCCAATACAGTGTTGTCTTGCAAAAATGGAGTCAGAATTCCTGAGTCTCAGAGACGTTACTGTCCTCCTCCATTACTGGATTATTTATTTTTCCAAGGAGAACCTCTAGTTTTCATTTCTTCACTCTGATGAAATTTATAATAGATTGCGTCTTTTAGAAAATGTAAAACTTTTAGAAAAAAACATGCCAACCAAAGTGAATTTTTAAAGCTTTTTAAAGGGAGAGGGGATTCACTTACAAAATAAAGGCCACCTTCATGTAAAATTAGTACTGCCAGTATCCCATCATTTTGTTTAAAGGAGAGATTTAGCTCCCTGTTCTGGAAGCCTTATTACATGCAGACATGTGACTTGAAAAACTCCACCCTTTTAACAATTAAAAATATTATAAATAGGACTAACGTGGAACAGCCCTTTGTTACAATCACCTAGGTGGTAAAACCAATGCAACAGTAAAGTCATGAAGTCTCCTTCAAATAGTCACTGCAATCTATTATAACTTCTGTATTTTCCCTTTTACTTTGCATATTACACAGTGTAACTTAAAATGTTATTTAAGAGCACTTCAGTCCCACAATGTAGGATTTAAGCTTGTGTGAATACATATGCATGGCTCTGCAACATTTTTAATGACTTACAAAAATACATTCAACCAAAACTTTATATAGGGTTCTCTTTTTTTTTAAAAAAATCAAAAATGAAGGAAAAGCCAAATGGTCCCATCATTAGCTAAATAATACACCCCAAGTTCAGGAAGCAATTCCAAAGCAAAAGCACATTCAAGAATAACATACATTGAATTGCATACTTTCCTCATTCATCTTTATCAGTAATAAAATTCTACTGCATATAATTATTCAGCCTTATAAATAATGCTAAGCAGAAAAATATTTACCTCTGTGCTACTTTTTTCAGTTTATAGAAGCATTTCTCAGTTTATAGGAGCAAAAGAAAAAAACCTAAAGTGCAGACTACAGGCCATGACAGGCATAATAAATGACCAAAGGTGCAGCCAAATTTGCATTTACATTTTAAGTTACTTCACCATCTTTCTTTTCTTGCTAGAAGTCACCCCGTGTGCAATTGAAGAGCTGGTCAGTTGGTTTGTGCCACAGTACAACCTGTAACCACTTGTAATTTTTTTTAAAACTAGTTGAATAGTCCATAGATATTTCTAGGCAATAGCTTAGGTTCACAAAACCTTATTTTATTAATACTTGAAATCACACAATATTGACACCTCCTCCAGAAAATGCTACTGTCCTTTTGTTGCAGTATGTGGTTGAGCCACTGATGCTCGGTTGACTGTCTTTAACAAGCGATGTCTTCATTTCCATTTCACACGCTACAATAGCTGCATTCAGTTCCACTTGAGCTCGGTGAACGACATAAAACATGAGCCCTATGCTTATGACAATCTGCAAAGAAAACAAGAGTGTTGTAGGCCATATAAACTGTAAGCACGAATACAAAGCAACTGCTCTGAAGATAACAAAAAGTCGTCGACGCAAAGATTCATGGAGGCATCTGTTGACTCAGTGCTTCACAGGCAAGACATCAGAAGGGAGATGAACTTAATCAATGAGCGGCTCTAAACCTATGTATGAACGTAACTAGCACATCAGAACATAGACATTACATAGAACTTAAATATCGATATGAATTGAATAGATATTTCTTTCTTTCCATTGCCATTCACATACTTCTTAGAAAGCAACCCCTTCACTTTCTCTCTTGGCAAAAACGTTTCCACAAAGAAACAACATGGTGCATTTCTGCAAGTCAAAAGAGCTGTTTTCCATGTCCAAGTGAATAATAGGTTGAAGTTGTATTGGGCATCTGCAACTTGCAAAACAGCGGAGACAGAGGATGATGCAGAGTAAAGGAAATAAATTCTCCTGTCCTTGCCCCTCTAGTGTGGAACACTGAAGAGCAGCAGCAGTGTCACTGTGCTTCTCAGATATCAGGACTAAACAGGACAGAATCAGAGTTTCTGAGTTTTCATAATCTGTATGGGAAGAACTTGGTTTCTGGAAGATGGCTCGGGGAGAGGAGAGGATGTTGGTGGTGTGGGGGCTTTTTTTGTTTGTTTTAAGGAGGAAATATTGTCCAAAACTAGGGTTTCAGTTCAGGATTTTGCTCTGAATTTTATTGCTAAGAATTTTTAAACTTTCACCACAAAAAATACCAGGAATAAACCTGGACAATTTTTACTTAGAAATTACTCATTGAATGACATTGGCATGCACTGCACTCCCCAGAGGCGGCCTTTGGTTTCAATGAAACACCAGTTAGGTTTTCAGCTGAGATTGTCCTTAAAAACAATAACATCTTCAAATAAAAAATCCAGCTGTCTCATAGTGAGAGTCCCTTTAAAAGAAGTAAATTCCTCTGCCTTTTTTAAGACTGTTTTATGAAACTAGCTGGAATCTGCAACTTCCCTTCAGAAAACCGAAAAGGTTATCTTGTTTACAACAGAACCTAAACTTTTGAGTCCAAAATCTGAACTTCATTATTAATTGGCAGGACTATGTTTTCTTTAACATTAAGGACTATCACTTAAAACATCTATCATCATGACATAACAGATGCTAGAATATCACCGAGTAAGATGATTGAGAAGTCTTCCTGATGGTCACAGGATAATTGCGGCTGGAAGGCATCGGTCTCTAGCCCAACCTGCTGCTCAGAGGAGGGCTGGCTGCAAAATCAGACCAGGTTGCTCACGACTTTCATCCAGTCAGGTCTTGAAAACTTCCAAGGATAGAGATTTCACCACCTCTCTGGGCAACCACCTCCACTGCTTGATTATCCTTGTGGTGAAAAAGATGTTCCTCGCTAATTCAAGTTACACATTTCAAAAGCTGGCCAATGTAAGAGTCAAAAAGAAACTATGGACACCAAGTTATGAATATATAGGAAAAATCCTATTCTAAAAGCTTACCCAAATATTTAAATTTGACTGGTTTCAGAAATTTGAATTTTCAAAATTAGAAATTTGGCCTGTTCAGGACACTGGTTGGGAAAGTCCCTTGGGAGGAAGTCCGGAAGGGCAAAGGGGTCCAGGAAGGCTGGGCATTCTTAAAGAAGGAAGTCTTAAGGGTGCGGGAGGGGGCTGTTCCCATGTGCCATTAAGATGACCTGTCGCGGAAGACGACCGGCCTGGCTGAACAGGGAGCTTTTGCTGGGACTCAGGGAAAAAAGGAGAGTTTAACACTTTTGGAAGAAGGGGCAGGCAACTCAAGGAGAGTACAGGGATCTTGTTAGGTCATGCAGAGAGAGAATTAGAAAGGCAAAAGCCCAGCTAGAACTCAGTCTGGCCACTGTTGTAAGAGATAATAAAAGATGTTTCTACAAATACATTAACAACAAAAAGAGAGCCAAGGAGAATCTCCATCCTTTATTGGATGCAGGAGGGAACATTGCCACCAAGGATGAGGAGAAGGCTGAGGTACTTAATACCTTCTTTGCCTCAGTCTTTAATAGCCAGACCAGTCATCCCCAGGGTATTCAGGCCCCTGAGCTGCAAGACAGCCACAGGAAGCAGAATGGAGCCCCCATAGTCCAGGAGGAAGCAGTCAATGACCTGCTACGCCACCTGGACGCTCACAAGTCTGTGGGGCTGGATGGGATCCACCCGAGAGTACTGAGGAACCTGGCAGAGGAGCTTGCCAAGCCACTCTCCATCACCTATCAGCAGTCCTGGTTAACAGGGGAGGTCCCTGATGACTGGAGGCTTGTCAATGTGGTGCCCATCTACAAGAAGGGCCAGAAGGAGGATCCAGGGAACTACAGGCCTGTCAGCCTGACCTCGGTGCTGGGGAAGATTATGGAGCAGTTCAGCTTGAGTACGCTCAACAGGCATGTGCAGGTCAACCAGGGGATCAGGCCCAGCCAGCATGGGTTCATGAAAGACGGGTCCTGCTTGACCAACCTGATCTCCTTCTATGAGCTGGTGACCCGCCTAGTGGATGAGGGAAAGGCTGT